GATGCAAGCAACATAGCCATTACACTATGTGCTGGTCCTGAGGCCGCTCCACTTTCATCCACCCTTTCAGAAGACTAAACAGCCAGTGCCAAGACACCACGCCACCTGGCCCTCGGCCTCCCAGCTGAGGAGGGTGGGCCATGGGCATACGGAGGAACAGGAAGCCTGGGCTCCCACAGGCAGCTGTGTCCCCGGGTCAGATGCCCCCTCAGCCCTGTGGAGGGCCAGGCCCAGATGCGCCCCCGTTTGAGCCAGACACTGGTGAGGGGCCCACGGCTCAGGCGGCTCGAGTGTAGCAGCCCCTCCCTCCCACCTGCAGGACAAGGCGCGGTGCAAGAGCAGCAGCGACCAGGGCGAGCTGGCAGCGGCAGTGGCCCACAGGGTGTCTCCACTGAAGCCCCAGGTCCAGAGCAAGGGCCTGCCCACTGGCCTCAGCCCCTTCCAGCAGAAAGAGGCCGCCCCTGGGGGGCGCACCCGGAAGAAGTTGTCCCGAGCCAAGAGCAGCGAGGTGTCCCAGGCCGCCCGGCACCCGCAGCCTGAAAGCAATGGCAGCAAGGAGAGACCCAGGTTCCCGGCTCAGCTGATGGTGGGCGCGGCCCAGGGGCCAGGCAAGTCGCTGGTGTGAGTGGCCATGGCCGCCTGGGGGCAGGGCAGAGGGCGTGTAGGGGCCGTGGCTGCCTCCAGGAGTGGCTGGGGCCGGGGACAGGCTGGGATGGAGGCGGGGGTCTCTGAGCAGAGCTCAGGGGCTCTGTGTGTTCCACTCCCAGGGCAGGGCCGAGGGGAGAAGAGCCCCCGGGTGCACCCTAGAAGACGGGTTAAAAATAGCCTCCCGCCTGCTCCCGCCTCCGCTCCTGCAGCATCCGGCCAGGCTGACCAGAGGGGCTACCTGTCCCCCAGCAAACGCACGTGTCCAGAACCGAGTGCCTGGAAAAATAGAGGCTTCCTCCCGCCCCGCCCCTAGGCCTGAGTGGGAACAGGGCAGTGCCACTGGGGGCAGGAAGCAGGGCCATCTGGGCATTGGGGTGGGAGGATAGTGCCCGTCCAGCCCACAGCGTGGAGGCTGGGGCCGGCACCGCCGGACAGTCAGTTCCCTGAGCAGAGCCTGGCACAGCGAAGTCACTGGGCGCTCACCTCCCTCCCAGGCAGCGGCTACTACAGCGAGGACTGTGGGGACCTCCTGGGTGCCGAGGTGCCGTCGAGAGATCCCGGGGCATTACTGCACACGGGGGCCAGTGCGGTGGGGCTGGGGCCCTCACCCTCGTCTGTGGTCAAGATGGAGGCCAACCAGAAGGCCAAGAAGAAGAAGGAGAGGCAGGGGCTGCTGGGTAAGGGGGCGCAGGTGGGCGGGGCCGGTCGGGGACAGGGCTGGAAGCCAGACCCTGCGACATGCCCCCTCCCTCCCTCACACCCTCACACTTGCACAGGGCCCTGCCGCCTGTCCAGCCCAGAGAGCGAGGTGAAGATCAGAAGGCGGGCAGTGAAGGCCAAGGTGGGCGCTAAGCTGGAGCGAGCCCCGGGGCGGAAGCCGCCTGGTGTCCCAGGAAAGAAGAAGGCCGGGGGCAAGGCTAAAGCTGGCCTGCGGGCAGAGCCGGGCACCACCGCCCGCAGGGACACCCTCTTCAGCCCCCCCCGGGCCTTCGGCTGCCGAGAGGAGGGCAGCAGGCTGGCCAGTGAGCGCCTCCAGAGAGCCACGCGCAAAAGCACCCTGCTGCCGCCCACGCTGCGGGTGAGGATCAGCGGGTGCCCCTGGGTCAGCGGGTGCCAAAGGTCAGCGGGCGCCCCTGAGTCAGCGGGTGCCCCTGGGTCAGCAGGTGCCAAGGGTCAGAGGGTGACGAGGGTCAGAGGGCGCTGAGGGTCAGCAGGCGCCCCACCCTCTCTCTTGCTCACTGTCCCAGGCCCTGGGTTGGCCCAAGTCACACCCCAGCCAGCCATGGGCAGGGACGCTGTTGTGCTCCATCTCAGCCCCTTGTCCCCCCAACGCACAGCGGAAGAACGGGGCCCTGTCCATCGCCCTGTCGGCCCGTAACACCAAGGCCATCCTGGGGAGGAGCAGGACCAGCGGCAAGCAGGTAGCACCCCCGGCCCGGGAGCCCAGTGGGCCAGCCCGCCTGCCTCCACCTGACCCCCTGCACCCCCAGGGCAAGGGCCGCGCAGTCAGCCGCTTGCTGGAGAGCTTTGCTGTGGACGACAACTTCGAGTTTGGGGACAACAGCAGTTTCTCGGAGGAGGAGGAAGAGGTGGCACCAGTGACCAGCAGCCCCCTGACTGCCGAGCAGAGCGCTGCCCTGGGTGAGCAGGCCTGGGGGAGCCTGCGGGGTGGGCGGCGGGCGTGGGCAGCCACACTCACACCCTTCCCCGCAGCGCGCTCCTGCACCATCCGCGAAGAGGACCTGCAGGACGGCCTGCCCGTGCTCATCCCCAAGGAGGACAGCCTGCTGTACGCGGGCAGCGTCAGGACCCTGCAGCCCCCCGACATGTGAGGCGGGCGAGGGGGGAGGGGGAGTCCCACGCTGCGGCCACAGCCCACTCACACTGCCCGCCGCCCTCAGCTACAGCATCGTCATCGAGGGCGAGAGAGCCAACCGGCAGAGGGTCTATTCCCTGGAGCAGCTGCTGCAGGAGGCGGTGAGGCCGGTGCTGCCCAGGGGCCCTGGGGGGCCGTGGGGGGCCGTGGGGGCCCGGGCCTGCTCACACCGCCACTCCCTGCAGGTCCTCGATGTCCGGCCACAGTCCAGCCGCTTCCTCCCGCCCGGCACACGGGTCTGCGCCTACTGGACCCAGAAGTCACGGTGCTTGTACCCTGGCAACGTGGTCCGAGGTGCGCACCCACCAGGGCCCCTGTGAGGCCACAGGACGCCGAGGGGACCCCCGCCTCCTCCAGGCGCGTCTCTGCCCTGCCGGGCGGTGGGATGGCCATGGGGGCCCCAGCTGGGGCACTGAGCAGAGCAGAGGGACCCAAGGCCCTGGTGCTGGCGGTCACCACAGCCATCACACGGCCACCAGCTCCCTTGGGGGGGAATCCCTGCCCCAAGGCAGGGGATGTGGGTCACCTCGGGTGGGGAGGCTCAGGGGTGTGTGTGTGGCGGGCAGGAGGCCTGCCAAGCAGTCTCGGGGGCCTTGCAGTGTGGCCCAGAGGTCTGGGCCCTACCTGTGCCGGGCAAGGTGGCGATGGCCATGGTGCCACTGCTCCAAGGCAGAACAGGTGTCACTCCAGGGCTGCTCCAAAGGCAGATTTGACCTGGGAGCTGAGCTGTCCCGGGTCTTCATTTGTCAGGCTCCTCGGAGCCTGCCTGTCCCCTTTCCGGTCCAGGTGTGACAGCTCCTGGGTGTCGTCCTGGCGGCTGCCTGACAGGGTCAGGCTGGGCTGCGTGCTCAGGGCGTCCCCATCCACAGGCACCTCCAGCGACGAGGAGGAAGACCTAGACTCTGTGCTGGTGGAGTTTGACGATGGGGACACCGGCCACATCGCCGTCTCCAACATCCGGCTGCTGCCCCCGGACTTCAAGATCCAGTGTGAGCACCCAGGCCCTGCCCACAGGGAGGCTCCCCGGACAGGGCAGGGGTGGGGCCGCCCCAGGCATGTCCTGAAGGCCCCCGCCCATGCTATGCAGGCACGGAGCCCTCCCCAGCCCTGCTAGTGTCCAGCAGCTGCCGGAAGACCAAGAAAGCACCCAATGCAGTGCCCCCGCCCAGCGAAGCCTCAGCCCCCAGCCTGACCCCCAAAGCCCAGGACAGCCCCGAAGCCGCCAAGGCCCCCGGGCAGAAATCCGTCCACAAAGATAAAGCTGGTACTTACGGAAGGGCGGGCACTACCCTGTTGGGGAAGGCCTCGGGTCCGGGCACTCAGCGGCTCACAGGGCAAGGTGGGGTTCAGGAGGGAGAGTCGGGTGCCATTGACTGTACCCGGCCTTCCCCCATAGGCGAAGCCGGACTCCTGACCTCAGGTGCCAAGCCTCCCACTGGAGCCCCAGACCACTTCCTGGGCCGCCGGGGCAGCCCCCTTCTGAGCTGGTCGGCCGTGGCGCAGACCAAGCGGAAGGCGGTGGCCGCAGGCACCGTGGGCAAAGGGCCAGGGGTGCTGCAGAACCTCTTCCAGCTCAGTGGCAGCACCAAGAGGCCGCGGACCCGTGAAGCCCTGTTCCCCATGCCTGGCATGGCTGCACCTGTGTTCGGCAATGGCTTCCGTGCCGACTCCTTCAGCAGCCTGGCCAGCGCCTACTCTCCCTTCGTCAGCGGGGCTGGGCGGGGCGGGCCCCGGCCTGCCTGGGGGAGCCCACAAGCTGCTGCGGGCCAAGAAGGCCGAGCGGGCGGAGGCCGAGAAGGGCGGGCGGCGGCGGGTGGGCGGCGAGTTTCTGGTGAAGCTGGACCACGAGGGTGTGACCTCCCCCAAGAACAAGAACTGCAAGGCGCTGCTGGCGGGGGACAAGGACTTGGGCCCCAAGCTAGGGCGGCCCCTGCCCAGCCCCAGCTACCCACCCCCAGCTGTCCTGGGC